AAAGTGATTAATTGTTATTTATTTACTTTATATAAAATCATCTAATTAAATTTTATCTAAAATTTAAATTAGGACTATTAAATTCAACTGAATGAAATAGCAATTAATTTATATTAATATAATGAAAAAGTGTTTTATAGATCAAGAAATCTAACCTATAAATTTGCCAACACATTCTTAATGAAACTATATTTTATACTATTTTATTAAAATAATTTAATAATTTCAATACTTATACTACACTTTAAATAAGCAATCCGATGTATATAAAACACGAATTTTTTACTATGATGGCAAAAACAAAAAAACTTTCATTATAGTATAAGTTACATTATCTCTTATGCTTAATAATAATTTTTCATAATGTGTTATTTGTCTACTCCCTCTATTTATTTTTAGACCTAATTTGATTTTTTTCATTTTTAAAATATAAATTTTAAATAAAAATTAAATAATTTATATAAATAAAAATTAAAAATTTTGTTGTCCTTATATATAATTTTTGTTAAGTATTTTTATTTAATTAAATAATTTTTAATTGTTATGTATATAAATTATTAAAATTTTAATTAAAATTTATGGTTTAAAAGTCAAAAAATTAAAGTAAATTTATTAAAAATATACAAAGGGACTATATTATTTATATTTAGTTTTAAATTAAATAAATGTGTTTATTCTATTTTTTCTTGGACTAAGAAAAATTATGTGTTTAGTTATTATTTCATAATAACACATAATATTACACCGTTGAGTACATAATAGGATGAAAAATATGGTTTTTATAGTTCATATGGTTAGAGATATTAAATTACCTTGGATTTTAGTATGCATTACTAATAATAAATCTAACAGCTAGTTTGACAAAATAAAAATAGTAAGACAAAAATAAAATTATTGGCGGGTGTAAGATATGATGTATGTTACAACTAGGCTATCCTATCTCATTTGTAAGTAATTATTTGTATAAAAAATTTAAATTAATATAAAATATTTAATTAAAAGATTAAATCTATATAGATAACTAGCATTTAACGACTGATACTGATTAACAATAAAATATTTAATTAAAAAATTAGCTCTATATACTTTCTCAAGATCAAAGCAACTTCAATTTTTAACTTTTAATTTTTCAACAAATTAAAAATTTATAAAAAAAATTATATATTTTTCTAAATCATCTTAAAAAGAAATATATTTTTTTATTGTATACCCTTCAGACATAAGGTAAGAGAGCATTTATTACATTTTTTTATGTAAATTAATATATAATTAAAAATTAAAAATAATAAACATAATTTTATTTTATACTATTAAAGTTTTTGTATATCTAACGATATGTTAATTTGAGTGAAAAAATATCAGTTTCTCTTAAATAAGATAACGAATTAGAGTCTTATAAATGAAAAAATAGGTGTTAAGAGAGTTTTCTTCATATAAAATCCGACTTGACTCGACTCTAAATTAATTAGGATCTAATATGTCTTCTATATACCAGGGTTAGTGCAAAAAAAAAAATTTTAAGCTTAGGATAAAAATTAAAAAAATCAAAGAAATAATTAGCGTCGCATGCAGAACTTTTGACGACGGTACAAAGAATTTTCACAATGATCAGTCAAACACA